CCATTAACCAGTGGAACAGCTTGCCTCCAGAACTTCTGGTGCTCCATCCCTGGAGGTCTTCAGAAAAAGATTGGACTGCTATTTGTCTGAATGATGGAGGGTCTTCTGCTTGAGGAGAGGGTTGGACTAGGAGACCTCTGAGGTCCCTTCCAACTCTATTTATTCTATAAAATTCTGTGAATTCTGGTCCCTCAAGCCTTCCAATGGTGCCGCCATCACCACTGTGACTAGGTCCAGCCATCTTATGCTGGTTGTCCTCCTCTCCTTCCTTCCACCTTTCTCAGCCTTAGAGTCTCTAGAGAGCTGGGCCTTCACATCATGTATATGAAGTAGGATAATTTGAACTTGGTCATTGGTGCTCAGAGGAGAACTCTGGGTTGGTTTAATTTGGTTTCTTGGCTGACCCCTTCCTTTTCCCTTTCCTTCCTTCCTTCCTTCCTTCCTTCCTTCCTTCCTTCCTTCCTTCCTTCCTTCCTTCCTTCCTTCCTCCCTCCCTCCCTCCCTCCCTCCCTCCCTCCCTCTTTTAGTAATAGTAGTAAAGTTGGAAGGGACCTTGGAGGTCATCTAGTCCAACCCCCTGCTCGGGCAGGAAACCCTACACCATTTCGGACAAATGGCTGTCCAGTCTCTTCTTAAAAACTTCCAGTGTTGGAGCATTTACTGCTTCTGGAGGCAAGCTGTTCCACTGATTAATTGTTCTCACTGTCAGGAAGTTTCTCCTTAGTTCTAGGTTGCTTCTCTCCTTGATTAGTTTCCACCCGTTGCTTCTTGTCCTGCCTTCAGGTGCTTTGGAAAATAGCTTAATTCCCTCTTCTTTATGGCAGCCCCTGAGATATTGGAATACTGCTATCATGTCCCCCCTTGTCCTTCTCTTCGTTAAACTAGACATACCCAATTCTAGCAACCGTTCCTTATATGTTTTAGCCTCCAGTCCCCTAATCATCTTTGTTGCTCTTCTCTGTACTCTTTCTAGAGTCTCAACATCTTTTTTACATCGTGGTGACCAAAACTGGATGCAGTATTCCAAGTGTGGCCTTACCAAGGCATTGAAGAGTGGTATTAATACTTCACGTGATCTTGATTCTATCCCTCTGTTAATGCAGCCTAGCACTGTGTTGGCCTTTTTGGCAGCTGCAGCACACTGCTGGCTCATATTTAAGTGATTGTCTACTAGGACTCCGAGGTCCCTCTCACAGTTACTACTATTGAGCATGGTGCCACCTATGCTGTACTTGTGCATTTGGTTTTTCTTGCCTAAATGTAGAACCTTGCTTTTTTCACCATTGAATTTCATTTTGTTAGTTAGTGCCCAGTGTTCAAGTCTGTCCAGATCCTTCTGTATCTTAAGCCTGTCTTCTGGAGTGTTGGCTATTCCTGCCAGCTTGGTGTCGTCTGCAAATTTGATGAGTTCCCCATCTATCCCTTCATCCAAATCGTTGATGAAGATGTTGAAGAGTACTGGGCCCAGAACAGAGCCCTGGGGCACCCCACTACACACTTCCCTCCATATAGATGCAGTTCCATTGAGGACCACTCGCTGAGTACGGCCGGTCAGCCAGCTACGGATCCATCTGGTGGTGGTTCTGTCTACCCCACATTTTTCTATCTTGTCAAGTAGTAGGTTGTGATCTACTTTATCAAATGCCTTACTGAAGTCCAAGTAAATTATGTCCACAGCATTCCTCTGATCCACTAATTTTGTCACTTGGTCAAAGAATGCAATAAGATTTGTCTGGCATGATCTATTTTTGACAAACCCATGTTGGCTTTTAGTAATGACTTTGTTTGCCTCTAGGTGTTCGTTGATTCGTTGTTTGATTATCTTTTCCAGGATCTTCCCAGGTATTGAGGTCAGGCTGATAGGTCTGTAATTTCCTGGATCCATTTTTTTTCCTTTTTTGAGGATGGGAACTACATCAGCTCTTTTCCAGTCCTCTGGTAGTTCCCCTGTGTTCCAGGATCTTTGAAAAATATAGTTCAGTGGCTCCGATATCACATCTGCCAGTTCCTTGAGAACTCTGGGGTGTAATCCGTCTGGTCCTGGCGATTTGAACTCATCTAGGCTGGACAGGTGCTCACTAACGATTTTCTTGCCTATCTTAACTTGTGTTTCTGTTTTGTTTTTTGTGGCACTATTTTTGATAGGTTGGTCTGTTTTTTCCCTTTGTGTAAAGACAGATGCAAAAAATGAGTTAAATAGTTCTGCTTTCTCCCTGTTGCTTGTCACCTTCTTGCCACTTCCACCCACTAATGGACCAATCATTTCCTTCACTTTTTTCTTGTTTTTTACATGTTGAAAGAAGCTTTTTTTGTTATTTTTGACTTTGGTCGCAAGCCTCAGTTCATTTTGAGCCTTGGCTTTCTTCACTTCATCTTTTCTTTCCTTCCTTCCTTCCTTCCTTCCTCCCTTCCTCCCTCCCTCCCTCCCTCCTTTCCTTCCTTCCTTCCTTCCTTCCTTCCTTCCTTCCTTCCTTCCTTCCTTCCTTCCTTTCATCTAGTCATTCAACATGAGAACTAACTATCAGCCACATCATTTTCAGAAATCAGTTCCCACGTCCTGTAGCATCTTGAAAGCTCACTAATTAATAGTAATAGTAATAATAATAATAATAATAATAAGGTAAGGACTCAATAGGTAGACAAAATGCCAAATCCAGTCTGAACATCTGGCTGACTGTGCGATGATCAATAATAAAGTTGGAAGGGATCTTGGAGGTCATCTAGTCCAGCCTCCTGCTCAGGCAGGAAACCCTATACCATTTCGGACAAATGGCTGTCCAGTCTCTTGTTAAAAACTTCAAGTGTTGGAGCATTCACCGCTTCTGGAGGCAGGTGGTTCCACTGGTTAATTGCACACCATTTCAATTCGTGGAAGAACAGCTGAAGTGCCAACTGTTTACCATCTGCCCCAAGACTTGTTAGAGTCTTACACTTTAACTATCCATTTACTGTCAGACTGTCAACTCACACAAACGGCACCCTCCAGGAAACGCTTACAACTTGATTTCACATCGCCCACCGAGGCGTGCCACGACAATTCACAGAGAAAGAAAAAGATGAGAGGTTTTGCGCGTTGCTGTTTTTTTCTTCGTTGCGATGTGATTAGGAAAGCTTTCTGCAAACGGATTGTGTGAATTTAGCTGCGAAGGGAGGAGGCTGGGAGGGCTGCAGTCAAGCTGCACAGACCTTTGTCGCCTTGGGTGGGCTGGCCAGGGAAAGCTGGATCAGGCTGCTGTCCGAAATCCAGGAGAGTTGCTTTCAAGCTGGACTGGACAGGCTGAGTGAGAACTGACCAGCCGTCTCAGTCTAAAGCAGTGTTTCTCAACCTTGACAATTTTAAGGCATGTGGACTTCAACTCCCAGAATTCCACAGCCAGCAATGCTGGCTGTGGAATTCTGGGAGTTGAAGTCCACATACCTTAAAATTGTCAAGGTTGAGAAACACTGGTCTAAAGCCAGCAACTTTTAAGACTCCCAGAATCCCCCTGCCAGCAGAGTTCAGGGACCAGCTTGGCTCTTTAGGCCAGGGGTCTCCAAATTCAGCAACTTTATGACTTGTGGACTTCAACTCCCAGAATCCCCCAGCCAGCTGAAGTTGGCAAGGTTGGACACTCCTGATCCAAAGCAACTGGCGGTCTTGCTAGCCATTTGTGGCCACCCCTTGAACACAGGGCAGGAAGTGAATAAGGTGCCCCTTTCGGAGTGAACCACCATCGGCTGGGAGGGGGGGCATCTTTTTAAAGCAGCCCACCCAGCCTGTAACATATGAGAATGGGACGATCTATGAAAAGGGAAGAAACCAGACAGGCTCCTGTGTGAGACAGGGCAAAGGGCAGCTAAAGGATCTCGTCCCTCGGGGAGGGGGCAACGATGAAGAGCAGGCTGGGGGGGGGGCTGATTGGGTCTCACACACACATGCAGACAGTCCTCAACGTACAACCTATAATTAAACCCAAAATTTATGTTGCTGAGGGAGAAAATTGTTAAGTGAGTTTTGCCCCCTTTTAACAACATCTTCTTCTGCTGCTGCTGCTAATAATAGTAGTAGTAGTAGTAGTAGTAGTAGTAGTAGTAGTAGTAGTAATAAAGTTGGAAGGGACCTTGGAGGTCATCTAGTCCAACCCCCTGCTCAGGCAGGAGAACCTATACCAGTGATGGCGAACCTTTTAGAGACCGAGTGTCCAAACTGCAACCCAAAACCCACTTATGCATCGTTGGGTGCCGGGTGGGCGTGGCCCATTGGGTGAGTGTGGCCCATTGGGTGGACGTAGCTGTGGTGGTAACGGCAGATTGGGTGGGACCAACTTTGCAAAATCTTTTTTTTTTCCCGCAAGAAGTTGAAATTGACTGATTGAACCTTTTTTTTTTTGCATACGGCGGTGGAGGCCTAAAGCAAAAAGGGTTTATAAAACCCAGCTGAAGGCCCAGGACTGGGGCGATGGCGTGTATGCCCACCGAGAGGGTTCTGAGTGCCACCTCTGGCACCCGTGCCATAGGTTCGCCACCACTGCCCTATACCATTCCGGACAAAGGGCTGTCCAGTCTCTTCTTAAAAACCTCCAGTGTTGGAGCATTCACCGCTTCTGGAGGCAGGTTGTTCCACTGGTTAATTGTTCTCATTGTCAGGCAGTTTCTCCTTAGTTCCAGGTTGCTTCTCTCCTTAAGGGAATCACTGCAGTTAAGTTAGTAACATGGGTGGTTGCGTGAATCCAGCTTCCCCGTTGACTCTGGTTGTCAGAGATGATCAGGTGACCTTTGGACATTGCAACCGTTGTAAGTACATGCCAGTTGCCAAGTGTCTGAATTTTGATCACGTGACCCCGGGGATGCTGAGACGGTCATGTGAAAAATGGTCCTAAGTCACCGTTGTTCAGTGCCGTTGTAACTCCGCATGGTCACTGAGCGAGTGGCTGTAACTTGAGGACCGCCTGTGCCTACGCACGGGCCCTTCTCTGGGCCAGCCCCTTCCCAACGTTTCCCCTTTCTTGGGTCTCCCGCAGGTTGCTGAGACAGAGCCTGGAGGGTCCCGGGTGAGCGGCCGAGATGCAGAGCATCAAGTGCGTGGTGGTGGGCGACGGGGCGGTGGGCAAGACCTGCCTGCTGATCTGCTACACCACCAACGCCTTCCCCAACGAGTACATCCCCACCGTCTTCGACAACTACAGCGCGCAGAACACGGTGGACGGCCGGACGATCAACCTCAACCTGTGGGACACGGCCGGGCAGGAGGAGTACGACCGCCTCCGGACACTCTCCTACCCGCAGACCAACGTCTTCATCATCTGCTTCTCCATCGCCAGCCCGCCCTCCTACGAGAACGTCAAGCACAAGTGGTACCCGGAGGTCTGCCACCACTGCCCCGACGTGCCCATCCTGCTGGTGGGCACCAAGAAGGACCTCCGCAGCAACCCCGACACCCTGAAGAAGCTGAAGGAGCAGAGCCAGCTGCCCGTCACCCCCCAGCAGGGCGCCGGCCTGGCCAAGCAGATCCACGCCGTCAAGTATCTGGAGTGCTCGGCCCTCAACCAGGAGGGCATCAAGGAAGTCTTCACCGAGGCCGTCCGGGCGGTGCTCAACCCGGCCCCGCCCAAGCCCAAGAAGCCCTGCGTGCTGCTCTGAAGGAGGCCCTCGCCCTCTGCTTATGCCCAGGCGCCCTCTCCGCTCCCCACTCGCTCCTGCCCAAACTTTGCTCCCTAGGAAGGCTCAAGGACCCGCTCAGACACGTGGCCCTTTCCCCCCACGGGGGAACCGAGGCCAGGAGGACTAGTCCTCGCCTTACGGCCATGTTCCATGGCTAAGAAATGAGGTTGCTAAATAAGTCACACCTGATTTTTTTTGAGACCCTTTTTGCCACAGTGGCTAAGCAACAGCAATAGCACTTAGACTTACATACCGCCCCATCAGGGCTTCACGGACCTCTCCTGGCGGTTTACAGAGCCGGCATTATTTAACAAGCCAAATAATGGGTGGAAGGGACCTGGGAGGTCTTCTAGTCCAGCCCCCTTCCTTCTCAAGAGGAGACCCAACGATCGGGGGTCCTCATTTGGCCAACCTCGCAAGGATGGCTGTGGAATGCAGAGTCAGCCGGCGGTGCTGCGCTCTGACCCCTGCGCCACCACGGCTCCACCATTAACGGAATCCGCTGCCATTGTTAAGCGAATCAGGCAGTCGTTAAGCGAACCCTGCGTCCCCCCCAGTGATGTCGCTTGTCAGAAGCCGGCTGGGAAGGTCACCGATAGCAATCACGTACTTGCAGGCCAATTGCCAAGCGCCCGGATATTGATCCCATGGCCGTGTGGATGCCGCAGTGGTCATAAGGGCAAGGACTGGTCGTAAGTCACTTTTTTCAGTGCTGTTGTAACTACGGTCACTAAGCACAAGTGGTCGTAAGTGGAGGACTGCCGGTACCCTCAACTATGCAAAGCTTCCTGAAATGCCGTTTTAGTGACGGCGCAAAAAAGGTGCGCCCAAAGGTGTCCTTTCCAAGAGGTGACAGGACTTTCTTGGTTTTCCCTTGAAGATGTTTCCCTTCTCCTCCTGGAGGCTTCATCGGAACCGAAGCGAAGCGTCTCCTAGGAAAAACCAAGGCAGTCCACTCGCCTCTTGGAAAGGGCACCTTTGGGAGAGCCGAGACCCGGATGACGAGGAACCTCCATAGGCCAAGAAAAAATATGTTTTTGTCCCATTTCTTCTCCACGCATCCCGGCCTCCATTCTTCCCTGCTCCTGGCTCTTTTATGACTCGTGGACTTCAACTCCCAGAATTCCTGAGCCAGCATGGGGGAACTTTGGCCCCTTCATGACTGGTGAACTTCAACTCCCAGAATTCCTCAGCCAGCATGGGGGAAACTTTGGCCCCTTCATGACTTGTGGACTTCAACTCCCAGAATTCCTGAGCCAGCATGGGGGAACTATGGCCCCTTCATGACTCGCGGACTTCAACTCCCAGAATTCCTGAGTCAGCATGGGAGAAACTTTGGCCCCTTCATGACTCCTGGACTTCAACTCCCAGAATTCCTCAGCCAGCCTGGCTCAGCTTGGAAACCTCTCCCTTTCTCCTCAGCATGGCTGGCTCAGGAATTCTGGGAGTTGAAGTCCACGAGTCATAAAAGAGCCACGGTTGCCTACCCCTGTGCCAGGCAATGCACTCAGGTGCCCGTCTGGAGAGACCACCTGGCAGAAAATCCACCCCAGGAGAGCAAGGATGAGGCAGAGGGCAGAGGTCCACTTCGATTCCTCGCACTCAGCGCCTCCTGGTCCGAAGGTCCCTCGGACCGCTGAGGCAGGCCAGGAGCGCCTTGCAGAATCAAACCATGGTAAGAGTTTTGGAACTGCCAAGCGAGGTGCCCCCTTTGCCGCCTCTTCCTCCAGCTCCACATCCTGTTTACAAAGGAAACGCTCCGTTTTCAGGGCCGGCCGTTCTGCGCTTCCGCCGTCTTCTTTTTGCGAAGACGCTCCGTGGGCCTCCCGCTCCCACAGCCTTCCTCCGCTGGGTGGTTTGCAGCCTGGCTCTTTTCTCCTGCAGCCTCCTGGGTCAGAGGCAGCGGGGCGTCTCCTGAGCACGTCAAGAGAGAGACGCTCCCTGTCCTGCCACCCAAGACAGCCGGGTTCTGCACACGCTTCGTGTCGAGTGGGGAAAAAAAAGAAAATGGCAGAAGACCCCCCCCCCAAATCCAGACTGTTCCCAGCCCCTCAGTTCAAACACAACCTTTCTCGGCCTTCTGGACCACCTCTGGAGAGGCCCAGCCATTGGTCGGCTGGGCTGCACCTTCATAGGGACTAGAAACTTGCTGGAATGGCTTGCAAGTTAGGATTCTCAGGATTCTCCATGCTCAGGTATACTTTCAGACGTTGTGGCTCGCAGCCCCTCGTGCCGGGTCACCCCTCCGGGAGTTTTCTTCACCAGAAAGAGCTACGGGGGTCTCGCTGCGTGAACACCCCTCTGCCCAACCAATGCCTCCTCCTGCTCCTGTCCAGCTCACCACGTTCAGGGGCAGCGGCCTCACCGGCCCTTGGCCTGGAAGACTCGGGGGGGCTCACCTGGCGTTCCCTGAGGTGATTTCCCTGCCCAGGGGTCTTTTTGTCACCCCCCCCCAATAAAGATGGCAACTTCCCCCTTGTCTTTCAGGCTCTTTCCCATGTTGATGCGGGGTCTGCATTATCCAGGGGTCTGGGACAATTCGCCATGGGGCACTTAACATGAGATAACTGCCCGCTAGGCCTGTTTCCCTCTTATTAGCAGAAATATCTCAATAATAATAATAATGATAATAATAATAATATAGGCATCTCATGTGCAATTGTCCCACAGGGCTTTGGCAGCGAGTTGTCCCATTCCATTATCCACACAAGGAGAGAGGTGGCCAGGTCAGTTGAAGCCAAGCCCTGCCTGGTCCTGCTTTCAGGCTGGGTGTGATGGCTTCTGGTCACTGCTCCTGCCCATGGAGGCTCCATCGAGGCCCCGGCTCCTCTGGGGCTTTAAGAGTCTCTTCTGTGCTTTGCCTTTGGTAAAGGCCCCTGTAAACAAGACGCCCCTTTGGCTGGCCGGCCTTTTATTGATTGCTTTGCACTTGGGCTGGGCAATTTGTGGAAGGCCTGTGTGTGTGTGTGTGTGTGTGTGTGTGTGAGAGAGAGAGAGAGAGAGACCCTGGCCCTAAGAGTTTCAGTCTAGGGAGGGCGAGACAGGAGACAGCGTCTATAACACTTTTCTGGGGTCCAACACAAGGTTGCACATCCTTTGTAAAGGCTTTGCTCCACAACATTGGTTACTATCATCTCCTGGAAGGTGGATTCTGAACTCAGGACCCCCTAGGTCTCCTCATTAACGCTGGCCAAGGGGGGACCATGCCAATTCAGGTGGAGAAAATGTCTGACTCAGAGGAGGAAGACCTCAGGGTCTTGGCCTTGATGATCTATGCCAGGGGTCTCTGACCTTGTCCGCTTTTAAGACTTGTGGACTTCAACTCCCAGAATTCCTGAATCAGCCAAGCTGAGGGCAAAGGGAGAGGTTGCCAAGCTTAGCCATGCTGGCTCAGGAATTCTGGGAGTTGAAGTCCACGAGTCATAAAAGAGCCAAGGTTGCCTACCCGAGGTAGTCCTTGACTTACAATGACTGAGCCCCAAATTGCTGTTGCTAAGTGAGATGTGGTGAATTTAGCCCCAGTTTACGACCTTCCTCACCACAGTGAATCACTGTTGTTAAATGAGTGACATGGTCATTAAGTGAATCTGGCTTCCTGGTCAGGTCGTGACCCCCCCAGGACACTTGTCATAAGTACAAGTCAGTTGCCAAGCCTCCAAATTTTGATCACATCACCGTGGGGATGCTACAAGGGTCACGTGTGAAAACCTGTCACTCTATTCTGCACTGTTTAAACTTCAAATGGTCACTAAATGAACGTGTGGAGGACTCCCTGTGATTTGTGGGTTCCGCTTGACCCTTTGAGGCCGGACCCTCTCCTGGAGAGGAGATATTTGAAGAGGGCTCTCATCTGTCTCCTTGGAGGGGGGGGTCCTCTTCCTTTCATTCTGCCCCCCCCCCCAGCTTCCTCCAATTTCTCACTGCCCCGGTGGGAAGCGAGGGGCCCAGAGCTGCACTGGGCATCGCCATCTGGAGCAGGGCCTCCCAGCCGTGGCCTCTGTCAGACCTGAGGACTTCAACTCCCAGAATTCCCCAGCCAGTCAGGAACGGCTGAGTGGGAAGGGACCAGAAGGATCCCTCAGTCTCATATTTCAAACTGGGCAGCTTCTAGGACCCCTGGAGCTCAGCTCCCAGAATCCCCCGGCCAGATTTCCCCAAATGGGGGGAAGGAGCAATTCACACACCCCCTCTGTTTTTCCAGAGGTCTCCTCGGCTGCAAGGAGGAAACGAGCAGGGCCTGGGGTCCGAGGGGCTGCAGACCGAGAGGGGGAGGACGGACGGACCGTGAAAGACCGGAGACAGTGAGGACCACCACCATCACCCCCGTCATCCCCCCCCCCCAAAGCCACCTGGAGAACTCGCCTTTTAAAAAAAATACTCGGTGCTTTATTTTGTGGGGAAAGTAAAAACTGGACGAAAATACATTATCTGGCGATGCGGATTTTCCCACAGGAAGACGAGGAAGCAGAACTGCCGCTCCTGGGTGACCCCGAGTCCCAGTGTCCGAACCCCTTGACCTTCCCATGGCGCATGTGGCCTCAGGGCCCCCGATTCTGCCCCGGGGGTGGGGTGGGGTGCAGAGGAGCCTCCCAGCCTGGCTTCGGGGTGCGGTCGAAGAACCCTCAGCTCAGCCTTGCTTCTCCCGTCTTGTATTTATGACGGTTGCAGGGCCCGGAACCCAGAGTGAATCCACCTTTTCCTGCGTCCACATCCCGGCTTCAGAGAAGGAGCCGGACCTCGTCCAGCTCACCTTTGGCCCAAATCGTTGGGCAGAGTCTCTCCTTCAGCCGGTCTTCAGGGATGCCTCAGTTCCGGCTGAATGAGCCTCCGTTTTGGTCACACAGCCACCACGCAACAACACACACACACACACACACACACACACACACACACACACACTCCCCGAGGTCTGTATCTTTGGAAGAGGGATCACTCTGAACATTTCCCAAGTCTCACGATGGAAAAAGGCAAAGCAGGAAGGTTAACACTGTCAACGCACAGCAGCCGTCCCTTCCCCTGGCCCGGGGGGGGGGGGAGAGGGGTTGGGGGGGTGGGGACATCAGTGCAAAAGCTGGAAATTGAGGGGAGGGGGAATTGAGAGGGGTGTCTTAAACACCTTAGCCCCTCCCGCCCACTTGTTCACAACCGCCTTCCTTATAACGGACACCAAAACTCCCAGGGAGGGGGGAATCCTGGGGCTGAAGGAGGGGCGAGCAGGGAACAATTCCCATGGAAAGGGGGTTGCCCCCCACCGTCCTGGAGATAATGCCCCCCCTCCCCAAGTTTTGGGCAGCAGCGGTTACAGGCCCCCGACATCTCTCTCAGAGCAGTGTCCGTCAAGCCAGAGGCTGCAATGATTCCTGCCCACCTCTTATCGGGACTAAGCGGGTGGGGGAGAGGTGGAAGAGTCCTCCCTGGGGGGGCTCCTTCTCTCCCTTCAGCACTCAGGGACGGCAGAGCGACCGCCAAGCCCCCCCCCTTTTCAAAGCGACAGCACTGGGCCTCCATGACGAGATTCCACTGTCCAGTCCTCGGCTAGAAGCGCTTCCCCTCCGGCGGGGAGCAGATCACCAGCTCCTTGTTGCCAAAGTCCCACCAGGCAGTCATGTGGAAGGCCATGTTGGACAGGACCACCAGGTACTCCAGGAAGGCGAAGACCGTGTACACTACAGGAGGAAGCAGGGCACAGAACATGGAATCCTAGGGCTCGGAGAGACCTCGGAGGTCTTCTAGTCTGTCCCTGGCTGGGGGGTCCTGGGAGCGCCCCAAGTCTTAAAGGCTGCCGAGGCTGAGAACCTGCTCTAACTTGCCCATCAGATATAAAGCAGGGGGCTGTAAATTTGGCAACTTTTTAAGACCGGCGGACTTGGACTCCCAGAATCCCCCAGCCAGCATGAGAAACAACAGACAAGGTGATCCTTCTGGTCCCGTCCAACTCTACCATTCATGGCTAGCTGGGGAATTCTGGGAATTGAAGTTCCACCAGTCTTAAAAGCTGCCCAATTTGGCACCCGATGTGAAACAAAATCCACAATGCTCAGGGTCTTCTGCTCCACACCAGGAACCCCGTCTGCGTTCAACGGTTGGATCGCCTCTTATTCCTTCCAAGCAATGCTCTTTCTAAAGAGTGTTCCTGGCCACGTGCAAAAAAAAAAAAAACAAACCCTGCCTGGCTCAGAGGTCTAAAGCAGACCTTCTAACATGGGCTTTACGGACCAAAAGTCCCAAGTTTATTTTCAATAATCGGCAACGGAAAATTACTTTCTCACTCAATAAAATTTGCAGGCCAGGAAGGACTGGTCTCTGGGCCCCCAGAACATGTGCTAACTTCAATAAATCTCAGTATTTAAAATGATTGACACCCCCACAGGGGTGTTTGTACTGATTTAGTGGGCTAATAATGAAGGACGGACATTACTATGTTACATGTTTGTCCTTTTTAATGTTGTGGAATGCCATTAGAGCACAATTAGTTTCCTTTGCCAGACTGCTAGATTCTGGCCTTTAGCACGAGGCTTTTAAATACATCTTGCTCTGAGGAGGGTCCAAAGGGGACAAAAGGATTCCCACAGGGGTCCCGGGCACAAAAAGGTCCCTGGTCTAAAGGCTTCAGCTATTGGACACTTGGATAGAGAAAGCAGCGAGGCCAGGAAAGGCCTAGAGCAGGGGGTCTTCCAACTTGGCCCTTTGATGACTTGTGGACTTCAACTCCCAGAATCCCTCAGCCAGGCACGCGTCTTAAAGTGGCCAAGGTGGAGGACCCCTGCTCTAGAGGCCCTGAAGCCGAAGGAGGGCAGGGCTCCAGGGCATGCCCAGAGGAGAAAGCAGCCAGGGCCCCCTTACCTCCAGCCTCGCAATACCAATTGTGACGGTAGTAGAAGCAGACGGAAACCAGGAAGGTGACCAGGTTGAAGATGAAAAGCCACCATTTCCACTTGTAGGACTTGCGCTCCTGTGGAGAGAAAGGTGGATGGATGACTTCCCCCGGCCCCCCACAAGTTCCTCCCCAGCCCCCCCACTCTGCTTTGCCCAGGCCAGGGGTAGGCAACCTTGGCCCCTTCATGACTCGTGGACTTCAACTCCCACAATTCTGAGCCAGCATGGGGGAACTATGGCCCCTTCATGACTTGCGGACTTCAACTCCCAGAATTCCTCAGCCAGCATGGGGGAACTATGGCCCCTTCATGACTCGGGGACTTCAACTCCCACAATTCCTGAGCCAGCTTGGGGGAAACTTTGGCCCCCTCATGATTCCGTGGACTTCAACTCCCAGAATTCCTGAGCCATCGGGGGAACTATGGACCCTTCATGATTCGTGGACTTCAACTCCCAGAATTCCTGAGCCAGCATGGCTCAGCTTGGAAACCTCTCTTTCTCCTCAGCATGGCTGGCTCAGGAATTCTGGGAGTTGAAGTCCACGAGTCATAACAGAACCACGGTTGCCTCCTCCCTCCCTCCCTCGCTTGCCCACCCACCCCAGGAGCTCCATGGGGCAGGCAGGCGAAGCCTCCGGGGCTCCGTTGCTCCTTTGTGCAAGCAGAAAGTAAAGCATAACTGCTTTTTGGGGGGGTGGGCTATTTCAATCGTGATCGGGACCCTTGGAATCCTAGAGGGCTCCCTCCGCCTCTGGATCCATCAGACCTGAACACCCTAATTTCATTCAAAATACCCCCCCCATTCCTGCTTCCATACAGGTGGTTCTCAACTTATGACCCCAACTGAATCAGTTTCTTTTGTTAAATGAGACATTTGTTAAGTGAGTTTTGCCCCATTTTACGAGTCATTAAGTGAATCACTGCACGGAACACGGTCGTTAAGAGAACCCGGCTTCCCCATTGACTTGGCTTGTCAGGTGACAAAAGGGAATCACCTGAACTCTGGACGCTGCGACCGCCATAAATACGAGTCAGTGGCCTGCAGTCCGAATTTTGATCACGTGACTCTGGGGAGGCTGCCAGGCTGGGCAGAGGGAGTGGAAGAGGGTCACCGCTGAGGTCAGAGAAAACCCAGAGAACCTATGCGGTACTTGTGCATTTGGTTTTTCTCGCCTAAATGTAGAACAGTGGTTCTCAACCTTTTTAATGTCGTGACCCCCAACCGGTTATAAGTCGAGGACTACTCAACCGGTCGTAAGTCGAGGACTACTCAACTGGTGCAGCACCGTTTGCAGACTGGGACTTTTGGCGGGCTCAGCAGGACAGAGACAGCCTGGACAATTCCTATTGGCTTTTGAAAGCCAATAGAATGAGACTCTATATAATAATAATAATAATAATAATAATAATAATAATAATAATAATAAGACAAAATGCCAAATCCAGTCTGAACATCTGGCTGACTGTGCGATGATCGATAATAATAATACCTGTAATACCATCAAACATCAACATCTGCCTATCCCAGGTCCTGGGTAAGGACTCGATAGGTAGACAAAATGCCAAATCCAGTCTGAACATCTGGCTGACTGTGCGATGAATGATGATAATAATAATAATAATAATAATAATAATAATAATAATAATAATAATAGTAAAGTTAGAAGGGACCTTGGAGGTCATCTAGTCCAACCCCCTGCTCAGGCAGGAAACCCTACACCATTTCGGACAAATGGCTGTCCAGTATCTTCTTAAAAACTTCCAGTGTTGGAGCATTTACTGCTTCTGGAGGCAAGCTGTTCCACTGATTAATTGTTCTCACTGTCAGGAAGTTTCTCCTTAGTTCTAGGTTGCTTCTCTCCTTGATTAGTTTCCACCCGTGGCTTCTTGTCCTGCCTTCAGGCGCTTTGGAAAATAGCTTAATTCCCTCTTCTTTATGGCAGACCCTGAGATATTGGAATACTGCTATCATGTCCCCCCTTGTCCTTCTCTTCGTTAAACTAGACATACCCAATTCTAGCAACCGTTCCTTATATGTTTTAGCCTCCAGTCCCCTAATCATCTTTGTTGCTCTTCTCTGTACTCTTTCTAGAGTCTCAACATCTTTTTTACATCGTGGTGACAAAAACTGGATGCAGTATTCCAAGTGTGGCCTTACCAAGGCATTAAAGAGTGGTATTAATACTTCACGTGATCTTGATTCTATCCCTCTGTTAATGCAGCCTAGTACTGTGTTGGCCTTTTTGGCAGCTGCAGCACACTGCTGGTTCATATTTAAGTGATTGTCTACTAGGACTATTGAGCATAGTGCCACCTATGCTGTACTTGTGCATTTGGTTTTTCTTGCCTAAATGTAGAACCTTGCTTTTTTCACCATTGAATTTCATTTTGTTAGTTAGTGCCCAGTGTTCAAGTCTGTCCAGATCCTTCTGTATCTGAAGCCTGTCTTCTGGAGTGTTGGCTATTCCTGCCAGCTTGGTATCGTCTGCAAATTTGATGAGTTCCCCATCTATCCCTTCATCCAAATCGTTGATGAAGATGTTGAAGAGCCCTGGGCCCAGAACAGAGCCCTGGGGCACCCCACTACACACTTCCCTCCATATAGATGCAGTTCCATTGAGGACCACTCGCTGAGTACGGCCGGTCAGCCAGCTACGGATCCATCTGGTGGTGGTTCTGTCTACCCCACATTTTTCTATCTTGTCAAGTAGTAGGTTGTGATCTACTTTATCACATGCCTTACTGAAGTCCAAGTAAATTATGTCCACAGCATTCCTCTGATCCACTAATTTTGTCACTTGGTCAAAGAATGCAATAAGATTTGTCTGGCATGATCTATTTTTGACAAACCCATGTTGGCTTTTAGTAATGACTTTGAGTCTCTTCGATTGGCTTTCGAAAGCCAATAGAATAAAAGGGAGTAGCACAGCTAAGGGGGGGAAAATGGCGGACTGCGTTGTTCGGCGACCCCCGTGAAATGGTCGTTCGACCCCAAATGGGGTCCCGACCCACAGGTAGAGAACCACTGATGTAGAACCTTGCTTTTTTCACCATTGAATTTCATTTTGGCACTATCTAACAAAATGAAATTCAGTGGTGAAAAAAGCAAGGTTCTACATTTAGGCAAGAAAAACCAAATGCACAAGTACAGGATAGGTGGCACCTTGCTCAATAGTAGTAACTGTGAGAGGGACCTCGGAGTCCTAGTAGACAATCACTTAAAGATATGAGCCAGCCGTGTGCTGCAGCTACCAAAAAGGCCAACACAGTGCTGGGCTGCATTAACAGAGGGAGAGAATCAAGATCAGGTGAAGTGTTAATACCACTTTACAAGGCCTGGGTAAGGCCACCCTTGGAATACGGCATTCAGTTTTGGTCACCACCAGGTAAAAAAGATGTTGAGACTCTAGAAAGAGTGCAGAGAAGAGCAACAAAGATGATCAGGGCTGGAGGCTAAAACATACAAGGAATGGCTGCTGGAATTGGGCATGTCTAGTTTAACGAAGAGAAGGACGAGGGGGGACATGATAGCAGTGTTCCAGTATCTCAGGGGCTGCCCCAAAGAAGAGGCAGTCAAGCTGTTCTCCAGAGCGCCTAAAGACAGGACAAGAAGCAACGGATGGAAACTCATCAAGGAGCGAAGCAACCTGGAACTAAGGAGAAACTTCCTGACAGTGAGAACAATTAACCAGTGGAACAACCTGCCTCCAGAAGCAGTAAATGCTCCAACACTGGAAGTTTTTAAGAAGAGACTGGACAGACATTTGTTCGAAATGGTATAGGGTTACCTGCCTGAGCAGGGGGTTGGACTAGATGACCTCCAAGGTCCCTTCCAACTTTACTATTATTATATAGAATTCGGGACGGGACATCCTGGAGAACCTTTGGCCTCTCCTCCTGACCCATGCCGTGGTCAGGCAGGTGTCCAGAAACTCCCCCTCCAGACTGGAAGCTGCCCCGCTGCTTCCCTGGAGCAGGCTGAGCCAGTCCCTCCGTGGGAAGCTGCTGAGCCGTTTCCCCCCACCGAATGATGTACGGGAGAAACGCCACGTGCCAGAAAAACAGCTTTTGTGCAGCGCTGGTGTTTACTGCTCTGCCCTGCTGGCCAGCTTTGCAGATGCCTCTGGTGGACCCCTTAATGCGGCACTAGAAAGATCTTTGGCCTCACCCAGCTCTGCGCCCATCCCGGAGCCTCAGCTACTCGGCCAAAGCGTTCCACACCGTCCCGGGGCTGGAAGGGATGGAGTCACAGAGATGGAAGGCAGTCAGAGCCCCTGGCCAAGGCAGGAGACCTTGTATAATCCCAGTCAAACGGTTGTCCAATCTCTCCTTGAAGGTCTCCAGTGATGGAGCATTCACCGCTTCTGGAGGCAGGTGGTTCCACGGGTTAATTGTTCCCACTGTCAGGAAGTTTCCCCTTAGTTCCGGGTGGCTTCTCTCCTTGGTGAGTTTCCATCCGTTGCTTCTTGTCCTGCCTTCTTCAGGGGCTTTGGAGAATAGCTTGACTGCCTCTTCTTTGGGGCAGCCCCTGAGATATTGGAACTCTGCTATCATGTCCCCCCTCGTCCTTCTCGTCATTAGACTAGACCAGGGGTAGGCAACCTGGGCTCTTTTATGACTCGTGGACTTCAACTCCCAGAATTCCTGAGCCAGTTCTAGGAGTTGAAGTCCACGAGTCATAAAAGAGCCAAGGTTGCCTACCCCTGGTCTAGACAAACCCAATTTGCGCAACCGTTCTTCACAGGTTTTAGCCTCCGGTGCCCTGACCATCTTTGCTGCTCTTCTCCGCACTCTTTCCAGGGTCTCAGCATCTGAAGAACATCCCTGTCTGGACCGGTCAATGGAAGAGGCTGGTCAAGCTTAACTCAAGCGCTGCTGAAGCCAGAGCAAATTCCGAGCGGCTTCAGTTACAAAACTAGATAACATCCTTTCATCAGCTGCCTGACTCAGCTAACCTGAGACACAAGGGCTGCCAGGGTAGATTTGCAAAGGGTTATTTAGGGCAGAAAGAGGAGGGGGGAGGACCCTGAGGAACAGCTATGGGGAGCATCACATGCAGAGGCTACAAATAGCCAAC